TATATTATTAGAGTCCTTAAATCTGAATTATTATTCTGCCTTTGTCGATTTTTTCTTTGTTCTTGAAGTCTCTTGCTCTAATCTATATCTAACTTCACCTTTATTTTAGCAGCTTGTTTTCTTTCTTGTTGAACTTGCATCTTTTCTTTTCTTTTGTTTCTCTTCTTGTTTGTTGTTGATTTGTTGCTATAGTCTTGATAGATTCTTTAAACTGATATATTGTAAATTTTAGGGCTGTTTTGTTAAACTGTCTTTGTTGGCTTTTTCTTTGTTCTTGGAGTTCCTTGCTCCAACCTACTTCTAATTTTGCTTTTAATTCAGCATGTTGTTTTGTCTTTTCTACTAATAATCTTCTGACTTCCTTGGCTACTTTTAGTTCTGCTGTATAACTAATTATTTCTTCTATTATAATACAATGAACAGGGTTTTTTTTATCGTAAATTGCTTCGAAAAAAGTTTCATGCTCTCTTTCTATCAGTGCAAGTTCTGTATATTTTAATTTTCCTATATTATAGTACTATAACTTTTCATAGAGCTCTGCTATTCTTTCGTCGACTATTTCCTTCAGAATGAGCTCTTGCCCAGCATATTCTGCCATTATTTTTTCTACTTCTATATTTATTATTTCATCGGTTATTGCTGCTTTTTCCTACTAGATATCTGCTATTACCTCTTTCATAGCTTCTGGTGTATTAGAGTTGATATTACCTTGTCTATATATCTCTATATCTTCACGTACTTCTTTTGCTTTCATCTTTGTTAATTCTGCTATGACGTGTTTTTTTCAGAACTTTCTGTTGTTGTTTTGCTTCACGACTTGTTGTTTTTTGACTACTGTTGTTTGTTATTGTTGCTTGCTGTGGTTGATTACCATTTTTGTTTACTTTCGTTACGTGGTTTTTGTTATATTTATTTTGTTTATTTTCCATTACGTGTTGTGATTCTTGTATCACCAAAACAGATCTACAATTTGGGGTCAAGGCCAATTCCCCCAAAATTCGCAAAGTGCAAAAGAAATATCGACGATTTTTCACAACTTCTTCTATTTCTTTGCTATTTCTGTTTTTCTTACTCAAGTCTCTTAAGAGACTGAGTATTTTTTGTTGTTCTCTTCCTCTTTACTTAGGAGCCCAAGATTAGTTTCTTAGTAACTTTTGTGTGTTTTTTATATTTTTGTTAAAATTTATTTCCAGAAATTTTGTGTTTTGATAATTAGCAGAAAGAGTTGAATTTATATAATATCTTCTAACTTAAATCTAACTTATATTATAATATTTGCTTATTAAGTTTTTTGTTAAATTATTTGTTATATTTTTTTTACTTTGGCTATCTTGCCAATATCCTTTATTAAACTCAATTATCTGATCAAACAAAAGTATATTCAAATAATTATAATATTTAGGATCTAATATCTTGTAGTTACTTCTAAAAATACTTTTAAGTAACTAGCTATGCTAGGCTAATATACTATAAATTTTAGATAAGTCAATAATATATGAGTGACAAAAAGGGAAAACCTGTAAATCATTTTCCTTATTATTATCACAATGATTTCTACTTTGTAAAAATTGATCATTCGATGATAACATATGTAGTAGCTAGTCATTCTAGTCACTTTTGTAACACAAAAACAATTAACGAAAATTGGATTTTTTTTTCCTATAGAGTGAAATAGTCTGTCGCTATGCAAGCTATAGTTTAAACCGAGAAGTATAGACTTTCACCACGAATGTAGATCAAGACTTTCTCACAAGATAAAGAGAGTGCTTTTTCTTTTATCTTAGTTCTACAATCGCTTAATTGCACATGACACCTAATTTTAGACAGTAACTTCAAGAAAAGTTGTTGATTACATGCAGCCTGATGTCAAGGATAAGTAGCAATTTACTTTTGCTTAAAAATTTTTATTTATTTTTTGCCAGATCAAATTTGTTTTTTGTAGGCGGCTCAATATAGATTAGAAGAAACAAAACTACTTCGACTATTGAAAAGACTATCGTTTAATAATCTATTTACAGTCAGACCTCTCTAAGTGCATGCCCTTGGGACCACACTTTAATAATATGCATTTAGAGAATAATAAAAAAAGTGCATTTATAGAGATCAAGTATATGTTTGGGCCAGAATTTGAGTATGCATTTAGAGAGGGTATGCACTTATAGAGGGTGCACTTAGAGAGGTCTGACTATAATAAGTTATAATTTAGAGTTTACACAATTTCTTTTGGTCATTACGGTAGTTGAGTAAAAGCAGGGTGAGACTTCAAATGTTTAGTCGAAAGTTTTTAAAAATAAGTTAATGTTTTATTTTTAAAATATCATTTTATAGTTGAAATCAATAATGATTAATTGTATTGATTATTTTAATTGCATTCTAATTATAAGTTTTCAAGACTTTACAATTACTCTTTTCAAATTAGTTTGATAAGCATTATTTTAATCTTTGTGATTGTGAATATGCATCATGATATAATTGCAATTCACTATGAGATTACTCTTTTCAAATTAATTGATAGTAAGCTTATAATTATTTGAGTCTGGTGGCCGTGAATATATATAATTTCACTATAAGATTTTTTTTTCAATTTTATTTGTATTTCAATATAATCTTGTTTTAAACAATATGGTCATTTTTTGAATTAGTCAAATAAATAATTTTATTATTAATTGCATTATTGTAATTACTAAATTTATGTGAATTTATATGAATTTTAAAATAACACGACAGATTCATACAAAACCGTTATTGTTTTAAAAATATTTTATTGACTTGTCAATTAAAAAAAAATTATTATTGATCTAATTTGCATCTTATTAGAAGAAAGATCATGATCAACTATTCTATGAAATTATGTATATAGATTTAGCGATATATTAATATAGATTAAGAGATTCATATAATTATTTTGGAAAGATCACGATTAGTTATTCCATAAAATTACTATACAGGATGGACTAAAAAAACTCTTTTTAAAATACTTCTCATGATTTCAGAGGCCTAGAATGTAAAGTACTCTGGGTACTAAAGACAGATTAATTGCACTTGGGAATATAAAATACCCAGATACTAAAGATAGATTAGTAATATTACTGCAGCACTCATATAGTGCAACTTATCCCTTCTACGCTGATCATAGTATTCCTCCAACTATAATACCCATACTGTACAGTAATAATAAATATTAAAATACTAAAAAAATAGTACTGCTCTGACAGTAAATGATATAACAAATACTTATCAAAACAATTATATACTGAATTCTCCATTTTTCTTGTTCTACCTTCCTGGTCCTCTCGTTCTATATCATGTGCTATCTCTATCTTCTTGATCTTATCTATAGCTTTTCGTTCTATCTTTATCTTTTTGCTCTTTTTATCTTCTCACTCTATCTCCCTTCACGTCCTATCTCTATTTTTGGTTTAATAATAAAATTTTCTGAAAACCCAGAACACTTCTTTGATGATCTAAATTTTGTCTTTTCTGAGTTAGATCATGATGAGGAATTAGAATCAAGTGAATGTAGTACCATAGATAATGATACAGATGAGAAAATTGAAGAATATGATGATATACAAATTCCTGAAGAATCTGATATACAGATTTCTGAGGAATCTGATATACAGATTCCTGAGGAATCTAATATACAGATTCCTGAAGAAAATCAAGCAGCCGTAAATGACTTGGTTGATAAATTAGTAAAATGTTCATGCAAAAAGAAATGTAGTAAAAAATTCTCACTAAACCTGTTAAAAAATTTGGTCTAGAAGTTCTTAAAATGGATAAAAAACAATGATATTATTCAATGATGTTACTAATGACTTCCTGTAACAAAAAATTACAAAAAAATTATTGTATTAGAAGGTATCAGTTACCATATATCAGAGAGGTTTGTCTTTACTTTTTTCAAACATTTTGGATATGTGGTAGAGATGCTTTTTATCATCTCTATAAATAGACTTAAGAATGTCAGTCTATACTTCCCAGGCCTTATGGAAATATTGGTTGTCAACCTAAGAATAAGTTGCCCACTGAGATAGTTAATGTAGTCAAATCTTTTATTAAATTAATTGGAGAATGATATGGTAAGGTATTAGCTGTACGAAAATACTTTAGAAAAAAAGTAGATGAAACAATAAGTGTAAATTATGAAAAGCATGATCTTGTTCTTCTTCCTTCTCACCTTTCTTATAGTTATCTTCTTATTACTTATAATTTAATATATGCAGAAAACTGCATTAATAATCATATAACTTTTTGAAAAATATAGAGAAATGACCCTGAGCTTAATAAAATTGTAATTAGAAACCATCTAAAAATGTATGTAATGAATGTACTATATTTAAGCATACTATTAAAGAGTGTAACAATATAGATGAAGATTTAGATAAACAGTTTGTAACCCATGTGTCAAATTATCGAATGATGAGAGATGCTTATGAAGATGATATAAAAATAGCCAAAGATAGTGATTGGTCTTCGTTTCATGTTTTTTCTTTCGATTTTGCACAGAACATAGAGATACCTCATGATCCTTAGCAACCTGAAAAATGGTATTTTATGTCATTATTAAAAGCTTATCAGTTCAGAATAGTAGATGAAGAGACAGATACTCACTGGTATTTGATTTATTCTGAAAGTAAAGCATCAAAAGGGGCAAGTGATGTTGCATCAATAGTACACTTATTTCTTACTTCCATTGTGGGTAATGCTAAAGAAGTTAGATTATGGGCTGACAATTGTGGTGGCCAAAATAAAAATTCTTGTCTTCTTTGGTATTTTCTTTGGGCATATGATACTCAATTATTTCAAAAAATTGAGTATCAATTTCAAGTTAAAGGTTATACTAGAAACTTAGTTGATTGTAGTTTTGGTCTTACAAAATGAAAATATGCTGTCTCAGAGATTTGGTATATAAATCAGCTAGCTGATGTAATTAATAATAGTACAAAAAATAATATTTTAGTAAATTTGGATGGCCAACTAGATTTATTTCGTGACTGGATATCTGCACTTAATACACTATATCGCAAATCTCCAGCTATTCAGAAATATCATATTTTCGATTTTAGCCATGATAGACCCGGCACAATAAGAGCTAAAGTGAGAATTAATGACCCTTGAGATGAATTTTACTTATTAAAGTAAAATGTTAATATAGAAAGTTTGAACCTCCAAGAGCTTCTACCAAAAGGGCTTTTAGAAGAAAAGCAAGTAGATTTTTGGAATCAAATTCGTTCATACTGCCCAATTGCCTTTCAGAACAAACTTTGTCTGAAACCATATGATGATATAATAAATAGAGTTAAAAATCAAAAAGGAATTCGTGCAAAAGAGGCACAAAATAAAAAAACTGTAAAAAAGAAAAGACAGATAGAAAATATTAGTTGAGAATATAAAAAATAAATTGCAATTTTTTAAACAAGTATAGCTTGGTACCCAATAATTTATAAGTGCACATACTTATTAGCAAATGTTAATTTACTAAAAGCATCTAAGTCTTTCTGTCCAAACATTACATACCTCAACATTTTGAATCTGATACTCCAAAATTCTGGTTGGCGAGCCTTTTTTTTTTTTATTTTACTTAAATTAATAGATTTATATTCATATTTAGAGTCACGCAATAATACTTTTTCAATAGAAGTATTAAAAAATTTTAGTAGCAGAATTCAGTAAATTAAAATATTTTTGTATATTTTGATCTAAGTGTTGTGTTCTGAAGTACTATAATTAAAATTGTATTAAAATAAAAGCTACTTAACTAAACATTTGTCTGCTTAAATTTAATATTGCAAATCTTGGAGTGCAAGTTGTATATTCTGTACATACGTATTATCTGTTATATATGTACCATAATACAAGTGCAAGCAAGAATGCAAAGTCATTATAGATTATTAATATTAATAATACTGTAATACTTTAATATGTATTATCTGTGGTATTACCGAAATTTCCAGAACAATCACATAAGTCAGGTTCCTCAAGGGTAAAAATTAGCATGATGATAATAAGGGAAATGATTTACAGATTTTTCCTTTTCATCACTTATATTATAAAAACAAGCCATAAACTTCAAAAAATCTTATTAAACTACTATTCTACAATAATAGTCATCTGATTTTTCACAGGATTTTGGGTCTAAATTTTTTATATATAAAATTATAATAAAAATATATAGAATTATATATAAACTTTATTGCGATAATGTTTTTTTATTTACATATTAACTTTAAATTAAATTTTACAAATAAATATATTAAGAAAAGTTAAAAAAAATGTGGTTTAAACCAATTAAAATTTTGCAATTTTGCTACAATTTAAAAATATAACTTTGCCAAAAGAAAAAATTTAGCAAGTTTAAAATAAGAATTATATGTAAAATTATATTCTAAACAACTTCTGTCTAAGTATACAAAAAGGTTATCTTAGTAAAAAAAAGTTTCTATATACTAATATCAAAATTTTCGGTTTTTTTATATAAACTTTTTTTTTGCTTAGATAACCTGTTTTGATCTTTTAAACAAATTGGTTCAGAACATAATTCTATATATTTTGTATTTTGCTGATTTTGATTTTTTGAACTTTTTACTAAGTAAAAAATTAGATCAAAAATTACACAAAAAATTTTTTAAAAAAATTTTTTTAAAAAAAAATTTCATATAACCTTTGATTCAATCTTTCACTTAATAAAAAGTTCAAAAAATCAAAAAATTAGTAAAATACAAAATATGTAGAATTATATGCTAAACAAATTTGCTTAAGAGATCAGAACAGGTTATCTAAGCAAAAAAAAAGTTTTATATAGAAAAACTGAAAATTTTAATATTAGTATATAGAAAACTTTTTTTTTACTAAAATAACCTTTTTGTATACTTAGACAGAAGTTGTTTAGAATATAATTTCACATATAATTCTTACTTTAAACTTGCTAAATTTTTTCTTTTGGCAAAGTTATATTTTTAAATTGTAACAAAATTACAAAATTTAATTTAGCTTAAACCACACTTTTTTCACCTTTTCTTGATATATTTATTCATAAAATTTAATTTAAGTTAATATATAAATGAAGAAACTATCAAATTTTAAAGTTTATATGTAATTTTATATGTTTTTGTTATAAGTTTATATATAAAAAAAATTAGGTATGACATATCATGTGACTAATAGAATATTGCTAATTTTATAACATTTTCTTATAGAGAAATAAAAAAAATACTAACATTAATACTAATACTAAAAGAAAAGAGAAAAAAATAAAAAAACTAATACTAAAACTAATATTAAAAAGAAAATTAAAAAAAAATAAAAAGAATTTGATAATTACAATTATAAGCCTGTATTAGATTTGAAAAAATTATATATACAATAAAGTAACTTTGTATTTTTTTTTTTTTTTTGGTCTTAAGATAAACCCTTTGGTCAGTATTTTATTTATGTTTAACAGGTTATTTTTACAGTATCAGTTCCGCATCAACTATACATATATTTCTATATATATAACCTCAAACTAATATTTATAACTACTTTAGAACAATTTTATTCTCAGGGTAAACCTACTAAAGCCTTCTATTTTCCCCACTATTAATGGCTAACCTAGTTTTTAATGCCCTTATAAGGTTCATATAGCCACCGCAACCAGAACTCTGGTCTGTAAGCCGTATTAGGCTTTTGCTACCTCCTTATTTGGGTCTTGCCAAGCGGGTTTCCATCTTCATTGGTTCTATAGATTTATACAAACACAAGAACTTATCGTAGGTTTGTACTGCCTATACTAGCTTGCATTCCTTTGTACAACTCTTCCGTTATACAAATACCATGCGATTTTCTAAATCTTGACTCGGTTTTTAGTAAACCTTCTGAAATAAGCTATCCTGGGTCAGGCACAAACTCAATTTTGGGTAGTGATTATCCCAGCCACTATTTGGTTCAACTATAGTTACAGGATCGGATATCCCAACCTTAAGAAGACAGTTACCATAATACAAATAGAAATTCAAATTTTCATCACCGGTGGGGTTCGAACTCTTGACTTGCCGCTTGGGAAGTGACAACTTGACCACTTCACTAAGTTTCCACACCCTAAAGTAACTTTGTATTTAACTATATCTTAATATATATACAGTACCAGATAGTAAGAAATATCTAAATTTTTTTTAAAAATACCAAATTTTAAGATTTATACTCAAATCTGATTGGCTATTTTTGTATAACAAGATTTTGATTGGTTAAAAATCTATAAAAACTATTTTTTATATATTAAATACCAAAATTTTGATTATATATATATTTTTTTTCTGTGTTAAGGTGAGGTTTTGCCTCATATCTTTATTAAATATTATTAAGTATTGCCTTATATAGCTACATATTTATCTTAAGAATACAAGCTTAGACAACTTTTATCTACAACCTAAACCTACCAGAATATGCTACGTTCCCACCACATATTGGGTTATATCAGATTTGGTGTTCAGACTATTTTTAGTTACTCACCATATTCACCCCATGTCTTACCATCAAATCTTGGTTACTTCCAAATTGGTCTATTTAGGAAATCAGTCCTTTACGGTCTTCCAATTTGGTGTGCCTGTTATTGGGTACTTTATACTGGTATATACTTTTCTATAGGTGGCCTCTCGTATATATATCTCAAGCCAGAGTTCTGCTACTGCCACCAGTCTCACGTGAGAAGTATTGGTATCACATATTGGATCTGGGTGTTACCTAGAGGTAGTACAATACTAGGGACAGTCACCAGCCCTCCAACTTACTTTTCCAGGTATACTGATCTTGTATCTCAAGCCAGACCTCTACTGCCGCTACCAGTTTGCCTTTTCCAGATTTTGACGTTTTCTAGGTTATCTGGTGCGGTTGTACAACTTCTACTCCCTTATATACTCCCTTATATGGTGTTCACTGGGACTTTGCTTTATGAGAACCTTTAAGTCGCACAGCAACTACAAGGTTATACACTTCTAGCCATTGGCCTTCGTAATCACTTTAATGACCTATCTTGTTAAAGACCGGCCTAACGCTATGAAATTACTTAAGTAGCAAGCTAGATCACTTCTAGCTATTTCTAGTTGGTGTAGCATTCGTGCTAGTAAATCTTAGCTCTTTTCGTCATAGACTTCCATACAGGTATGACCAGAGCTCTGATTGGTGCATTTAGACATATAGAAGTAGATTACATTCTCTACACTGAGTAACCTTCTATAGTCATTCCACTGATGCCAGAGGTGCTTCCAATTCTAGTTAAGGCATAATTCTTTACCACAGCCCATAGTCATATATCACCGCTTCACTCACTACTCCAGTTTTGGTAGTATTAAATCACTCTTCCAAGCAAGTACCTAATACCATTCCATATTAGGACTTATATGCACGATCCATTGATCATCCTTCCAAGCAAGTACCTTACAAGTTGGATATAAAGATGTTGGTACTGCCAAATACGGAAGTGATAGAATATTGGTATTGTCTCTTAGTCACCCAACTGAGGACTTACACGCGTAATCTTTTTATCACCTAGATCTTCTGTGATGCCACTATCACACATAGTGCCAACTCTCCACAATCTGGTCTCCTTCCGGGAACTCCTTATTCTGGTCTCATACTGCACTTGGACTTTTCACAAGGCTTCACATCTGATTATAGCCCCATAGGTTACAGAAACAATTTTATTAAATTTGCCTCCAGCTCAACTCAAACCATTGATCTTGTCTGTAGGGGTTTGGGAGCTTAACCAATAAGCTATGGAACCCAAACCCTAATTTTTGATTATATAGTAACTTTAAGCTTTAATAACTTTTTAAATTTATAATAAAAATAAAATCTATTCTAACAGAATTGTAGCTTAGACTAAAAGCAACAAATCTGTAAGACAAATTTTTTTAAATTCATTTGTTTATAAGTTATAAGTATTTTTATATTTATATATAAAAAGTAGATGTTTCTTATTATCTAGTAATGTATCAAAAAATACTTTTGTGAAAAAAACAGAAACTAAATTAAAAAATAACTATATTAATTTTAAACAGAATAGTTAGAGAGTAGATTTGAAGTATTGTTAATAGATCTCCAATATTCAAAGCATATAACTAGTATAATATCATTAAGAGTTATTAACTTCAATTTGTAATATAAAATAATCTGGTTATATAAGTTACTAAGTCTACTTAAAAATAAATAAACAAAATAGTAATTTTCTGTTTTGGGTAATTAACAATACTAATAGTTTGTAATTTATATATTAATCTTTAGAAAAAGATAAACTAAATTATTTACTTTTTGACAAATTTTTTTTAAAAAAGTAGTAATCTAATGAAACTTTGTGAGTTTTTTCTTATAAGTTTTATAGTTATATAAAAATAACTCAAAGTTTGTAATATTCTTGGTGTTGATTTAGTCATTTTATATTTTTAAAATATCTTTTTGGTTTGAATACTGAATATAATAGAAAAGTTTATTAAATAAAGCTTGATCTTTACAAAAACTAGTTCAAAATAGACTGCTTCTTAATTTATACTCTTGGTATTTTATTGACAACATATCTACTTTTTTAAAACTAAGTTTATTACTTTAGTATCTTTTATAATATTTTTTATAGTTTAGTTTTTTAGACTTGTTGATCAAAGAATCATTAGAAAGAGTTGTTTAAAATAAA